GGCCCGCGCACTCACTCACTCACGCATTCATTCATGCGCACGGGTCCTCCCCCATTCATTCGAACGCGCCGGGAGCGCCAGGGTGGGTGCCCCTGAGCAGGAGGAGGCGCCCACAGTCGCTCCGCAGCTTTGGTGTCTTTACCCAACCCATGTGGGGAATAGCAGCCGGGGAAAGAGGATGGTTCAATAACCTCTTCCTCAGACACGTGTTTATTTTTTTTAAGATCAGGCTCCAACTCATCTTTTAAAGTCCAATTTCATACCGCACCTGCTCCACGGAGCCTTCCCCGCCACTCGAGGCGCCGGGAGGTGAGTCTCCTCTGCCGGCTACCAGCGCTGAAGGTGGGCCGCTTCATTGCGAGTCCTAGCTGAGAGATAAGGAAGAGGGCGTGGCCAGAGCGGAGGCCTAGAGGGTGCTTCTAGCAGCCGTGCTTCCTTGGGGAAATTAAAAGTCACTGATCTGCGTGCCTACGTCTGTACTCCCAGAGTTGACCTCAGTTCATTACACAATCACTTGATCTGACCCCAGCCCTCTCTGTGCCAGATACCGAAAAGCCTACATGCAGAGCACCTATTCATCAGGGACACAGACAAGGAAAGATAATCCAGTTTCCAGCGAGGGAAATATTTTGATGCATCCACAGGGCATTACCCATCTGAAGGGCAATCTGGGAATGCTTCCTAGACGAATTAGCTCCTGGAGACAGGGGGACAGGATGGTCACTTGGCTAGCTACCTATCCCAGCACAGAGCCTATGCTACGAATGCAGTGTAAACAGTAAGATGGTAAGATGTGGCTGGAGGGATGGCTAGGGTCTTCGGAGCCATCCAAAGAGTTTGACATTTCCCCAAGATTAGTTGAGGCCTTTAACCAGGGCAGTGGTTTGTCAGATTTGCATTCTAGAAAGATTTCTCAGTAGCAGAGTGGATGGATGGAGGAAATCAGTTTGAAACTATTGAAATAGTCCAAGAAAAGATGATTCTTCATAAACAGGGGCAGCTGTGGTGCGATGGCCAAAGGTGTATTGATCAACTATTTACTGCACTTACTCTACCATTTTGTCATTGTCTGTTTGCATGTCTGTCTCCCTCCTAAGCCTCTGAACTCCCTCAGAAGGCAAGTATCTGCATTGTGTACATCTCTGGATTCCCTATACCCAGCACAGAACAGACATTGAGTGAATGTGATTTGAACTGACCTGAGTGGCAGTTCTGACCTACCTTCACGCTTATGATATTTCTGCTCTCCACAGCAGTCCTTTATATCCTTTGTCAGGAAGTTTCCAGAGCACCTACAGTGCGAGCTACTGAGGGCGCTATGGACATAGGTCCGGGCAAGAAAAGAAAATTTGAGGAAAAAAATATATAGACGCAAAGGGGAATTGAAAGAAGACTTTCAATGGTTTCTCCATCTGGACCCAAACTAAACTGGCTGACAGGGCTGGGGAGGAGATGACCATTGCTTGCCCTCTTTGCTGGGGACCCTCATAGCAGCTTCAAGGACAGACCGGGAGGGAGCAATGGCCACAATTTGAAAAACTAACTCCTCCCTCCCTTAAGGGCTCCAGATAGGTTCATCACACTGGCCTCTCCAAATGTGCCTCAGGCACAAAGGAGTGGCCACAACAGCAGCCCAATTGTCCCTGCAGGCCCTAAAATCTCCAGCCCCTGATACCAGTGGAAACAACTTGTCATTTTGGGAGAAGCCAAAATAGCATGGCTATTAAAACTCTCCACACTGGGGTGAGCAGATTCTAAGATGGCCCCAGAGATCCCTGCTTTGTGGTTTCACACCCTTGTGTAACCCCTCCCCTTAGGGGTGGGCTGGCCTCATGACCTGCTTCTCACCCAGAGGATAATGTAGAAGTGGTGGATGGTCTATCCAAGATCAGGTTATAAAGACTGTGGTTTTTGCTTTGAGCATTCTCTCTCTGTCTCTCTCTCTGTCTCACTTTCTTTTGGGATTAGCTCTCTGGAAGAAGCCAGCTGCCATGTACAGAAACAGCCTTGTGGAGAGGCCCATGGGGTGGGAGCTGAGGCCTGCCAACAATCATGCGAGTGAACTTGGAAGCGGATCCTATCTCCCACCCCAACTGAGACTTCATATGAGACTGCAGCCCTGTCTGACACCTTGACTGCAATTTCATGGGAGACCTGGAATCAGATACACTCAACTACACCGTGCCCAGATTCCTGACCACAGAAACTGTAAAAGAATAAAAGTTTATTGTATTAAGCTGCTAATTTGGGGGGGGTGGGTAATTTGTTATGCAGCAATAGATACCTAATGCAAGATGTTCTTAACTGTTGAAGGGTGATTCAAAAAATAAACCCTCAAAGAACTAGCCAGTCTCACTCCAAAGAAAGCACAATATTTCATGGGTATAGCTAGGCAGCCTAGGGTTTAAATTTCAATTCAGACTTTTTGGGTCTTGGTTTTCTCATTGTAAAATAGGGTCAAAATCGTTTCTTGAGTCTGCTTATGTGTTGTAGTGTGTTACTTACAAAGTAGGTGCTTGATACATCTTTTTCTTCTACTTCTCAGCAGTAGACGAAGATCTGCAGCATTCTTGGAATTCTTGAGCTAAGGCAAAGTCATTCCTGGAGCAGAAGGCCCATTAGGGGGCTACTATAATCAGGAGTCCAGAGACGCTATTTATAATGCAAAGCTTTAACCTCACCACCTGCTTGACTGTCTCCCAATAGGTTTAGAATCTACTTATCAAGTTTCAGCTATTGCAGCCTTGGTGTCCTTCTTTGTCTTCCAAAAGTATCAACCATGGTTTAACAGAAGTTGAGGAAGGTCCCTCAGTTCTGAGAAATTCTGAAGCTTAAAGCTTGCTCAGAGGACAATGATGTGTGTGGTGTCTGCTCATCTTCTGCCCTCCCTCAAAGGAAACCCTGTTTGAACCCAGCCTCCAGTGTGGGATTACCTGTTCTCTCAGGTCTTGGTCCTCTCTGCAGCTCAGGTGCCGCCATCTCTTTCCCCAACAGTTGCAGCCGCCTCCTCACCTCTGCTCTACTGCCAGAGCTGTCTTCTCAAAGTAGAAATTACCCCTGCCACTGCCTTCAGATGGCCCAGGATGGTTGCCCCACTCCTTAGCTGAATCTGGCTTCAGTGCACTCGTCTCCCTTTCCTGTACCTTTGCTCTGGGCCAGGCCACACTGAGACCCTCTGAGCAACTCCAGTGAACCAAGCTTCCTCCCTGACACCAGCCTTTCCACACAATGACCTTCCTCCCGAGCACAAACTTTGCTGAGGTAACTCTGATTCTCTGCCTGTCTGCATGCCATCTCCTCCAGGGAGCCTCCCTGACACCCTCGGGCTCAGTGCACACCATTCTGTGTGTGCCCTCCGTCCTATGCTTCCCTCTGTCAAGACTCCAGTTCCACTGTTGCTGCTGCCTCTTTTCCTGCCTTCCCCTATTCCCCGAGATGCGAGCACTTCTAGGGCAGAGCCATCTTTTACTTCTTCATCGTTTTTGCACCCCACCCCCCACATTTCTATCTTACTAATTTCTCTAAGTGCAAACCTCCACTGTCTTCCCAAGCAGCCCCAGGTGGGTAAGGGCCCTTCTTGGAGCCTGACAGCAGCTTGTTGTCTTACCTCTGTCACTTTGTAAACCCTGTGGGACTTGTCAGACTCCCGCAGCCGACAGCGGCTCTGTTAAGGGCACGACTGTGTCTGTTTCACCCCAGTGCTCTTGGCACCCAGCCTAGAGCCAGGTACGCAGTAGACATCCAATAACTGTTCATGGGATAAAGGATTGAAGGAGGGGCAGAAGGAAGGAAAGACAAAGAGTGGAAGGAAGAAAATCTGGCTCTGTTGGCTTTCTTTCCCTTCCTTCCTTCCTTCCTTCCTTCCTTCCTTCCTTCCTTCCTTCCTTC